GATGGGGGCGGGGGCAGGCGGGCCCGCGGGCCGGGCCGGCCGAGAGGCTGAGGCCTCCCTCAGCGGCGGGGAGGCTCTCCGTGAATGTCTGGCTGGAGGGCGTGCGGCAGCGCTCCTGGCCGCTCGGAGAGGGCCGTTTCGGTGCCTGCGAGGTGGGCTGCCGTTGGGGGTGAGGGCAGGGGGCTTAGAGCTTACCTGCCACCCCTTCGCCAGCCGGCCGGGCTCCGGTTTTGTGAGGCATCCGGATCAACCCGCCTGCGCACTGATGGTTTTCACCGGGTGTTTAGCCTGACGCAAAGTCCGCTGAAGTCAGGACGTTTGTTTCAGTGGGTTTGGAGTGGCAGTGCAGTGAGATAAGTCGAGGTGACCATGGTGTAAGCTGTTTTTTAGTAAATCCACGTTCGGTGATGGTCTTGGGATCTATCTGTGCTGGCACCTTGGGAAATGAATCTTCTGTCCGTCTAAAAGTGCCCAAAGAAACGTGAAGCGTGTGCTGCTGCCCCCACTGGCATGCTTGGCAAGAACGGTTCATCTTAGAACTTTGCCAAGATGTTTTGTAGCCACAGTTTTTTCTGATACTCTTATTTATGTGTGTTTCTGATATCCCACTAGGCATGCTTTAGTGTAATCTACTGTTATGACTCTTGATCCTGCAGATAAGGAATAGATTGTGTTGTCTTGATCTAATCTTGGGTAGATCAGAGAATGAGAGCATTTTGTTCCGCGTCCTCAGTGTTCCTGGACGTGTTTTGTTTCTCATTCAAGCTCAGGTGGTCTTTGAGCACCAAACAGAGATCCAGGCTTAAAAAAAAGTCTGGAATGATTTAGTTAAGGAGCTTTAGTAGGTGGGGGAGGTGAAGGCAGGGGAAAGAGAAAGCAGAATTCCCCTCCCCTGGCTCTGTAGGTAGCTTTGATAGGGATTTCAGGTTTGGAGACTTTCCCTACAGATCTTTTAAATTCTTTTTTGCATAGGTTGCCTCTGGAATTGGTAAACCTTATGCTCCTTGATGTGATAGCATCTGCTTTGCACTCTAGAGCTGCTGTAAGTTACATAAACTCGGCTTGGCCCAGTGCATTAGCAGTGTAGGCAAAGTGGATGGCTGTACCAACAGTATGAGGAATTGTGCTGGTGAACTTGTCACGTGTATCTGATAGTGAAGAGGTGGGTTTCCACTGTCCTCTCCTTTGAAGGAAATGGGAATAGTTATAGATTGGAAAGAGTGTGGCCCCATACCCACCATAAACCCTCTGCTTTTTGCACCTACAAGGTTATTTTCCATTTTATGTTGCCTTCTGCACTGTTAAGGGGAGTTATGGGATTTTTGCAAACTATGTCAAATATTTTGAATAAATTCCTCTGGGGCATTTCTCAGAATTAATCAAAGGCAAAAGTCCTCATTAATCTCCACCAGAGGAGAACAAGTAGGAGTTTCCAGACCAGCTTTGGAGTTATCATAACATGTAAAAAAACCCCACACTCCTCCCCCCCCCCAGTCCCTCATGTCTCTTAATCACTGTATCCAGGCTACATACATACATTTAACAGGGAGTTAAATCCACAGTCTGAATTTATAATAGACTGGGTTTATTCCCATAAGAATGGTGGAAGCAAAGTTCAAAAATCATGTAGTAGATAACAATCCGTTTTAGAGAATATCATTTCCTCTGAAGAGTGAAATAACCAGTTCTGAAATTTGCAGTAACTGGTGACTATAAGGAATTTATGTAGTAATCAAGCAGTGAATGTGTGGCATAAACATCTCCTGTTTTAAGAAGGCAGCTTCACCTTTATTACCACCTACACTTTTGTTGGTGAATCACATTTTGATATAAGGACTATTTATAAAGGGGCCAAAGAGACGAATCTCTATAAAACCCTTGGTATTGTAGCCTTTCCTACCTGCATTTCTCTGGAAGTTGCCTGACCAACATAACCTCAGAGGTGGTGGAAAACGTACAGTGGTGTATGCTACCTTCTGTTTGTGGCAAGTGAATGGTATTTTGTTTTATTCTGCTTTCTCCATAATATGACTAAAGCTTTTCTCACAAAGGTGACTTTTTATAGGGATTTTGACATGTTCCAGGAATGTGATCTTTCTTGTGAGTCCTCTCTCAAAGTCAAGTGAAGCAGCAGAGATTCTGATCTGTGAGTACGTGTTCAGACTGAGTTACGGAAGCAGCACTAGGTGGTAAGAATTCCTAAAGATAAGCTCAGGAAATGAGGGTGGAGTGCTAGTGCCATGGATATGAATCTGGCTTTCTGCTAGGATGGAAACACGGCAAAACACAGAAGTCTGTGATACTTTTTTTTAAACTTTGAATACATCTATTGCTCATCAAACACATCGATCGCTGGATCCCAGCCAACAACTCTGGAATAGTTGTGGGACGCTCCTTTTTCTAAAGGGGAAAATCTCCTGTCTGAAATGCTTTCTTAATTCCCAAAGTAGGTCAGGAATGGAGTCATTGAGATCCGTACATGTAGTGAGTGAGTCATGGTGTGGTCAGCTGTTGGGAATGCTGTGTACCGCTCGCATTTGTTAACTGCTGAATTGTATTGGGAACAATAAACTAACAAAGAGGAGGTATTACATAGTTTGTTTCATCTTCATTTGTCTCAAAGAAAGGTGATAACTGATCGTTTCCATTGTTTTTCCATGAGGGGGTGGTGTCATACTTCCTGTGGGGTTTGTGACTGTTTTCATGCGTTAAGCCAAATCGTTAGGGATGCCGCTACAGAAAGATGAAACAGCCAACCGACGTCGTCCTGGGGAATCCTAAGCAGTCTCAACACATCTCCAAAATTGGCAGGGCGAACTGGGCCAAACATGGCAGGGGAGGTTGCATGCCTTCTCCGTGTGGTCACATGTGGACTCGCTGCGGCACGTCTGGCTGTGAGGTTGTTCCCAGTGGTAAGATCCAAGGGTGAGGTATGATGAGTACTTGTGTCCTTTGGGTTCAGTTTTTCTGCCTCTGTAGTGGTTAAGAGATTGCAATCGTGGTGGAAGGAAAGGTAACACTCGGAGAGAGACGGTGCTGCTGACAGAGCTGCCTGGCAGTAGAAAGTATGATTCTTTTTGGAGCTATTTTTTGCCGCTCTCCTGAAATGTCTCACCTTTTCTAACCCAAGGCTAAGGTAAATGACACCCGAAAGCGCTCACAATTGGGAGAAAGTTTATATACTGCATTTTCTGTAGATAAATATAGGTAGACGTGAGATGGTGGGAGAGGAAAAGCGAGTACTGTTTATCCGCTGGATGGTGCTGTTGTTCTATACAAACAGCAGAGGGGTCCTGCATAGCTCCGACTGAAGACTTCAAGTACTGTTTTCCTTCAGAGAATTAAGAAGGATGTGCACAGTCCTTTTCTCCTTAGCAAATTTCTCATGAATCCTGCATGTTATGAGCCGCCTGTTATCCAGCATTCCTGAGGCTGGCTAAACTTAGCTAATGACTACAGATGGGAAAACTCGTATTTTCTGAGTAATTCCTCCTGAATCAGGACCAGAATTTTTCTAAAAACCTCATTTAAAACTTCCCTCAGTCCCTCAACCCCCAAGACTTAAGCTTTGTTTCACCTGCGGGATGAGTATTTGTTGGCTCAGTCAAGTGCAGTAAGCTAGCTAGGAGTCACTGGAGGAAAAGCTTGTTTTCAGAGTCTGTGGTTATACTTCGTTGTGGGGAAAGAGAAGACACATTCCTCTGACGAAACCACCTTTCCAGAGGCCAGGACTTGAATTTGAATTTTGTTTGCCTGCCATAGCATCAGCTAGCATAGCATCAGATAAGATCTGAAATAGGTCTTTGACTTATTTGACATTGTTCTAATGTCCTTGTAACTTTTACTGTATTGTTTTATAACTCTCTCTTAAAGATATAACTGCAGTCTTTATGAAGGAGAGGACTTTGCGGATCATTGCCTCTGTAATTTGTCTTCCTTGTCAACACTGTTACAGTCTTTTATTGGAAAGGAAGCAAAGAATAGTAGCCTGTGTGGTGGGAGAAATTGTTTTGCAAGGTCTGCCTGTGACTCAGTTGTTGGA